TTTACAAACTATTAACTTCATTCCAGAACACCTAAAGCAAGAAACCAAATTCCACTGAAGAACTGACAGACTGGATGTTCGAGAGACCTTTCTACGCTGCACTGGAGTTTTACAAACCTTTTAATGGAGGAAAACGGAATGTAATGGTCACTAAATCAGAAGGTTTCCAGTTTGGTCCTGAGAAAAGTCTAGCATGTTGATAGACATGCATGTTGCTTATAGACATCATAGGCGCCAGCAGCAATTTTTCAGGGGGAAACTGGTATCCTGTTTCAGGGATTTGAGGAAAAGGGCCCTCCTTCGCAGTTTTAATGTAAAACGCTTTAAAAAATAATATTTGGCGTCTATGAACGTGAATGTTTGAAAAATGTTCACAATATTTTCCCCTACAAAATTTTAAAGCCTCACAGAGCTTGGTTTGCTTTTAAACCTGTTTCCCTCCCCCCCCCCTCCCCAGCAGGTGCCCATGTTAGATACTGGACCCAAATGTCGTTGATCATCAAACTTTTGATAAACAGTCCTGAGTAAAAACCTGCTTAGTCAGTAATAATACTAACATCTCATTCATTCAACAGTCTTTCTTCACTGATGTTTTACTTAAAATTATGCAATATGGTGTGTCAGTGTGGTAGGAATCTAATGTAATTTAAGTTTGCAAAAAGATTCTCAAATAACCTAAAACTGTTTGTGATGCTTGTCCTGTTCTCCATGGATATTGTCTATTGTTGATATTATGATCTTATGATCCAGTGTCTATGAGCTATCGCCTATTGTCTATCATCTGTTGTAAGTTTATTGTTAACTTACCCTCAGCATGTTTCCGCAGGGAGATCTTGCAGAGACCCCGTGTGATCAGTTGGACACCAGCAACTTGTACATAAACCCCCTGGAGAGCCCCAGTCCCTGCGGGGGTGTCAAGAAGAGTGCCTCAGGCGACCCCGGACTGCGGAGTCTCGGGGCGTCACCTCTTGACGAGACGTACCGAGGGTTCGGGGCGACTGATCACGGAAGTCGGGGCAGCCTCAATGACACTCCCCTGCCTAAACATCGGAAGACAAGATTCCAACAGGTAATTGAAACTTTTTACTGTGTTACAACTTATGTAGCCATTTCAAAGTTAAATGGTTACTCATTAATTATTAAGGATATTGGTAATGGCTTAGATAGATCAATTACATCAAAATCGTCTGGATTGCAAACATCGGAAGACCAGATTATTTCAACCGGTGATTAAAGTTGTGTTTTTTGTTTTATAACTTTTGCTAGCTATTTAAAAGTTAAACGGTTACTCTTTCATGATTGAGGTTTTACTGGTACTGGCTAAATAGGGCTAAAATCAATATTAGGAACTTCAACTGATCGTTATGCTGCGCAGTCATCACCACGGCCGTATTCCCTAACGGCAGACACGGCGGTTGCCGGGAGCTTCGGCCTAGGAGGGGTCTCACTTGGGGCCTCAAACATTTTCTCTTGATAAATTTATTTCACCGATTACATCTCATAAATACAATACTAATATTATTATCATAATTTGTGGGTTTTTTTTCCACTATTGCGGGAGACGTTGGTGAAATCTGGAGCAACCACAAAAAATCTACACCATTTTGCCGTTAACGTAGGAGTTGTCACTATTCATTCGCGATCGTGGAAGATGTCCAGGATTTTATCGCGACGCAAGAGTCAAAGATCATGTCCCCGCAAACTCCGAATATCTTAACGATTTTGCCGCAAGGGGAGGAGACGAAGATGATGTCTTCACGATTGCGCAAGATGTTCACAATTTCTTCGTGGCCACGTGAGATGTGCATGATTCTGCCGTGATCGGAAGAGATATAGATGACGTTTCCGCGCTCGCCTAAGATGCTAACTATTTCTCTGCAGCCATCGTTTATGATTTCACCGTGATCGGAGGAGACGAAGATGATATCACCGCGATTGCGCATGATGTTCACAATCCCTTTGCGACCGTGGCCAGATGTCCACTATTTTACTGTGACCACAGAAGACGCTTACAACTTGGCCGTAATTACAGATTTTGTATAAACCGACTATAGTATATTGATTACAGTATTATCTTATCTTTTAAATTTTAATTCTCAAAACTATTAAGTTTTGATCCAATACCAGAAGGTAAAAATTTTTTATTCAACCTGAAAGAAATGAAAAATGTATGGCCTACAACCTAAGACTCTGTGACGGTCCCAAAAATTCCCAGACCCATTACATATCAGTTGGGGAGGTTTTGGTTACACCCTCAGGAAACCCTGTCTTTACCGTCACAGAAGCTTTGCTTTATTTCAAATATAAAAAGAGGGTATGTAATATTGGACTGTTAACCTCCCAGCTTTTTGCGTCAACCAGTTGCCTCACCATGGAATATTCCGTCAGCGTGGCTCAGCGCTGGGTCAGGCCAACGTTCTCGGAAAGTGTAACGCGCATGGCTGGAATTTGCTGATACAGCTCAGCAAGTCGCTCGATGAAATCAGTTAATGCGCAACTATAGTTTGCCTAATGCCCTGATGAATCGTTAGGCAGCAGCACCGTCCAGGGCTTGCACTGACGTCACGCGGCATAGCCGCAACGTGATTGGCTGGTTCCCCTCCACGCCCAACTCTGGGCTATGGGAAGCGCGCACTCAGTTGAGTTAGTCTAAATTCTAAATCCAATTCAATCGGTCATGTAAATTCCGCGTCGCGTCGCCTTTCCCCATAGCCTCCTCGGGAGGCTATGTCCCCCAATAACTTATTTGTGTTGTAAACTAAATTTATAGGATTATACAGCAAGTCGGAAGCTAAACACTTCACTATTGTTTTTATCATAAATGAAGTAAATAAATTATTATTCGTAGTGCATTTTCGTTGTTTCATTCGGCAACCTGTCACATTTGGTGTCAGGTTCGGGGTTAGGTTCAAGAGTCCTAAATTAATTGGCTATTTAATTATTATCGCGCAATCAATTACTTAGTCAGAAACCATAATTTCGTTGTAATTCCCTGTCGCGACTCGCTCAGTCCGTATCAGTTCTGCTCCCGTCGTTTTACGTGTTTTAATTCGTTTTGCTCCCACTGCAATGGGTTGTCGTCTGCAGTTTAAAACTTCGAACTTCAGAGACTTCGACTTCAGCTTCTGCGTCTGCTCGGTTGTGGAAACTAAGGTTAGATGTGCGTAAAAGGTCAGGTGAGTTTATAAATTAAGTAACTGGCTTATATATTTTTATTTGGTTTTCAAAAATATTTAATTGGGAAGCTTACCAAGGCTAAAGTTGTTCTTAAATAGTTAAAAATTGTTGTGTAATCAAAGGGTGAAATGATTGAAGTTGTTGGCTTAAGTAGGATAGGCCTAACGTTGTTCCTGTGATTACTGTCTGAGCTTAAGTTAACAGTTGACTAGGCTAACTTTTTTGATGGTTTAATCTAGTAGCATATTCCTATAAAGTTTAGGCCGTGCCTTGGTGAAGTTTAACTTATTGGGGGAAGGCGGAATAATTAGATTTAATTGGAAAAATTAATTGGAGATAAACTAAGTTAAGTTTTGGTAACCCGTATAAAGTTAGGCTATGAATATTTCAATTAAGTGTTCAGAGAAGCTGAGGCAATAATTTTGACTTAAGGAATTGTTTTTCTATTATAATGACCGACTGTAAACTTAAATTATTTTGATTAATGCCTGCAACAAAAATTATAACAAATGAATTTTGAAATATAGCCTAAGGTAAGAGTAAAGGAAAGTGAGGAACATTTTACTAATTATCATGGAATATGTGATTTTGAAGCTTACGTAAGAACTTTTGAAGTGTATTGTTACTTGTAAAACTAAATTTATTTTAGCTGCGTTCCAATGATGGCCGTCATGTAGGCCTATGCCTACTGTGGCAGGACATATTCAGATTCTATGTGGTTAGCTTGTTCATTTTAATCTGTTTAAGGTAACATTTGTTAGTCGGGACAGCTCATTGGGTCGTTCAGTAAACGCCAGTGACTGTTAAATGTCCTTTGAAGTGGTCAATAAATAGAATTATGAAACAGAATATAATTACTGTTGTCTTTGAATGATTAGCAGTGTAGTCCATGGGAATTATTGATTAAAAAATTATTAGTTTAAATGATGTCAGCATTACTGGCCTACTGACGGGCTTGAAGGTTGGGAAATGCCTTGTCTCTTTTGACATAATTTTGTTCTCTAAAGACTTGCCTTCTCACCTCAAAGCCATCCGGGATGTTGCTTGCCTCTGTATTGATGCCTTGCCATTTCACTCGGGTATGGAAAATAAAGTAGGCCTAAGTAGGAAAAAATTTGTTTTTTTCCGTGATGACTGTGCACGTTTATAAATAAATTACTTTTAAAGTAAGGATATCTAGAAGATGGTTTATTGTGATATTTTAGGTACGGTAGCTGAATAAATTCCAACTTTTCTTTTACCAGACTTAACAAGTTTTGTGGAACGCAGCGAGAAATAATTTGAGTTTGTATGATTCGTAATGTGATTTGGTCTCTAAAATTTGTGTATATTATGTAAAGTGGACAACTAATGAGTAACAAGTAAAAAAAAAGTAAAAACGAAAAACGTAAAAAAAATTGAAGCAACCCTTGGGGTTTTGCTAGAAACTTGGGTTAGCGTGTAAAGGCCGCGGCGTGGGCCAACAAACCTAGCCGCGATTTGTTAAGATATTACGTGATTCAGCAGGTGCTCTGTTGGAACTGTTAGGGGTTCGCAGACCCTCTGATGAGACGTCGGTGTGTACACAAAGTAGGTGTGCAATGTGGAAGGACTAAAAAGAGGAGTTTAAATGTTTTTTTTTGTGTAGGTATCCAGGAGAGGGATTAATTTTTGAGTTTTTTTTAAGCATTGCAAGAGGTTTTTACCATTCGTTGAACGCTTGGTCCAAGTCTGAGTGAGTATACTGAGTAATTAGAGATGTTTGTGTTTAGTTGCCATTCCTTTTTTTTTCATACTGAAATAATGTATTGATCTTTATTTATTTAGGTACATTGGAATAATTAGAAATTGGTTATCGGATTTATAAATAAAAACCGAAATTTGAAGAACTGTTGTTTAGCTGCTATCATCAGCTAGCACTATTGAATGATTGAAGTCAGTTCAAAACTCATATGTGATGTTACAGAGGTAAACTATTAATTTGATAGTTTTGACTCACGAGCTGAAAATATAAATTTGTAATTCATTCCGTATTTGTAAAAAAAAAAAATAATAATAAATTGTTTTTGAGATGAATTGCTTTTATCTACAGAAGAAACATTAGTTTCCGATATGTTGAGTTTCTAATGAGCCGAGGGAAATGTCACAATTTTCTCACAATGTGTGTTCGGTATGGGGGAAGATTTGGAGTGTATCTTCTTTTGCTCCTGCTTTGGACAGGACCTTAACCTAAATAAATCCGGTACGGTAACATTTGTGATTAAGCCGTGGCTAACCCCTCGCCCAGAGCCAGAGGATTCTGTGGTGTATAGTTAGAAGAATACAAATACCGTTGTCCTTGTTTCTTGTTAAGGGAAAATAAATCAAGCAATGCTGATGATAGTAGGAGGAAAATGTTTTTTTATAAAAATTCAATGCTGGAGGTGAATTAGTAGCCTACCAATATATTGATGTGCATAGGATAACCCTTTTTTTTGTTTGTTATACATCCTACAGTTTTGTATAGGAGTGTGAGCCAGTCTCTTGCTGTCTCCGTTGATCGAGGCACATGGAGTCTCCTTGCGGTGGACCAGCTGTTGAAGCAGTAGTTCAACATTGTCCCTGCGGGTGGAATTGGTTTGAGTAGTTGTATAAGTATAATAATAGTAAGTGATTACAAATTATTGGCCCTGAGCTAAGTTGGGGTAAAGTATACTCGCTTTAGCCTTGTTTTTAAATTCTTTTATTTTTTTATTTTTTGTTATTAAATTAATTAAATGAAAATTTAGACTCCTCTGGAAAAAAGTAAAAAAAAAAAGATAAGAATTAAGAAGATATAGTTAATTTGTACATTGTAGGCACGCCCCATTTAGTTATGGGCTTCCTTTGATTGTGCATGGTTGTAGTTTGGTCTGAGCCCTAAGGTGGCTGGCCGTGATTGAGATTGCCTTGCTTGTCCGTACAGTATTACAATACACACGGCGACATGGTGAATCTCCTGTGGACTAGGTCCGGATTTTGTTTTGCTGTTTTTTTTTGTAGTTTGAGATCTCTGATCAGAACCATTAACGATTTGGTTGCTAATAGTTACAGAATGCCTGCCTGATTAATCAGCAGCCTTCTGTTGTAAGCGCTAGCCGTGTTGTTTTTTCTTTTCGGTGGGGGACTGTTCGTGAAGTTGAAGTCGCATGATATGCCTGAGCTCCAGCAAGGACTCTGCATTATGTGAACTGATGAGTTTTGGCCTGCTGTTCGTTCGGCAGCAATAAGCTCGTGTAGGACTCTAATAGTCCTGGTTATTTTTATTTTATTTTTTTTTTGTTTTGAGAAATTTTTCTGTCATTAGTCCCTCCCGATGACATGCGAGAGATAGAGTGCATATTTTTGCTCGTGCCTGCGTATGTCTGCCCAACGAAACCCGTTGGCAACTTCCAGCTGCACTGGAGCCGGGAAGGGGAGAGGGAAGGAGAGCCTCCCCTGGTGTCAATTTCATTTTGACTGTTGCTCGCGCCTGCGTACGCCTGCCTGACAGAACCTGTTAGCCACTACCAGCTGCGCTTGAGCTGTAGAGGGGGGTGGAGCTAAGAGCCTCCCTGGTCATGGCCATGACGTGTGTATTTGTGATGTAATGTTTAAAGGACGTCCTTGAGAAGTAGCCAAAATAATTACCAGCTTGGCACTCTGAGCGTAAAGGAGTATTCTTTTGAGAATGCCTTCCAGCTCCTCAGATTCCATCATTTGCAACTAAAGAATGTTGAAAAGTTGAAACTGGGTGGCCTCTCCATCTCGATTATTCTAATAGCTGTTTTCTCGTTTACAGGTGGAGACGCAGAGCAGCCCTGTGGCTGCGAGCCGCTGTTGCGAGAACTACACAAGATCAGGAAGAGGCACCAGCAGTAAGGGAGATGGAACCGGAGCGCTCCAGTGTAGAGGTCAGGCCTTCCGCGGAGGATAGACAGGGCATGCCCAGCCTGCAACTTGTTGCTGAACTAAACCGCCCCCGATTGCAGTCACATTGGGTGGCGTAAGTTGACTAGTGCAGTGCGCGCAATAAGTAAGTGGCAGGACACTTTTAAATGGAGCTCCAGACATTAATATATTCTCTTTTTCCATTATTATATAATTAGTATTCTTTGTGTGTAACTATTTCATAAGTATTTTATTAATGTACTGTTAAAAAGGACTATCGGTTTTACAAGTAGGCGCCATAGGACAATGCACACTCGTACGTGATGTTTGGTAGCAGTCCGATGCCTATATACTGTAACTATAAATTTAGTAATTTTCCATTTTTAGTCACACCATTAGGCACTGGTGTGTCGTGTCTCCTTTGCTGGTTAGTGGATTGGGTTGGCTGTGCTTGTTAAAGTTTGATCCAAAAATTTTGCTTTACAGCTATTTATAGGGGAAATTTAAATTCTAAATGAAGAAAATGTACTCCTCAGTGAGTGTGTATGGCCCAAGAGTCAAGGCAACACGGAAAAGTAAGCAGCTGCAGTCCTACTAACTTCCTAATTACCCTTATCCTTCCCTACCATCTAATAATGCTGGACCGTACCCTTGGCCTTGGACTATGATATTTTCTTATCTGATAAAAATTATAATCAAATTTATTTCAATTCAAATAACAAAGGTAACTCTATTTTGGACATTGTCAAGCCAATGTGCCTTGTTTGGAGGTAGGCCGGCACCTTCAACCTCGGTAGCCAGACCCATGACCCAGTAAATTGTCATTTAACGGATTTTGCTATTTATTATTATTTATTTATTTATTAGATTATTTATTTCATTATTTGTTTAGGTAAGTGTTATTTATTTAGATAGGTATATTTGGTTGGCTTTTTGTTTTAGCCATGGGAAACTTAGTTGAAAAGTAAAAGTTGAGTTTTAGGAGTTATCAGTTTCTATGTTTAATTAGTTCATGATTGTTACTGAATTTGCTTGCATGCACTCATAAGTATCTTTCTTTTTTTTATCTAATATGTTCATTTGTTATAATAGTTTTTTTTTCATTGTTGTTGACACTTAGTAGTGCCATGTTCTGCTCTACAGTGCTTGCTTCGTTTCGGCATTTGGTACATTATATTCAGTATTAACGAAACTAAATTAAGTTGAAAATTGTAAACGCCCCTTATATTCGGCTGAGAAATATTTGCTGCAAACCGTATTCGCTTTACATTCAAATTTATCAACCAACTTGTAATACATCCCGTGGTATTACCGGGGGAGAATTTATAGATTAGGCTGTGACTGCCTAAATTCACTGTTACCTTTATATTTCTAAGGACTACTAACCAGCATGGCAGGAGCGCTTGCTCTGAATCATTACCGAAGATAAGTGGGTCTGTGTATTCTCTCATCCGAGGGAAGCAAGCATTGTCCGAGATGAACATAACTATTATTGTTTGTTTAAGCTGTTGATTTATAACTGTATTAATGCAGTAGCGATAATCGTTTGAATTTTACTTGATGAGGATAGCTTTGAATCTGTTTGTTTGATTTTTATTCTTGAAATTTAAAATTAATGTATCGTTACTAAAATGGTTTATTACTGTTAGTGTTAGGTCCAGTTATGAAGGATTTTATCTATTGTAGTTTGTTGTCTTTTATTGTTTTTCATTCTTTTGCTTCGACTTGCTGTTTAAATTGAATAACTTTATATATAATGTAAGGATTGTAGGTTGAATGTTAGTGTTTTTGGAATCCAGAGTTATGGATGTAATTAGTTAAATTTATGGCATTAACAGGGAAAGGCGATGACGTTAGAGGGTTCAATTATATGATTTTCTTTTAATGGGTTTTTTTTGTTTGGAAAATTTAAATTCATCAAGTTACATTTTACGAGGCGTTTAAATTGGCCTTGGTGTGGCGTTGGGCTTCGCTGACCGGATTTCTGTGGCTGAGAACCATAGTATGGAGATTTGAGAGTCCTCAGGTGCAAGGCTCGCTCACTGCTTCCTGCTGTACCTCTTGCTGGGGTCAGCAAGGTCTGAGGAGGAGGGGGATGTGACGGTCCCAAAAATTCCCAGACCCATTACATATCAGTTGGGGAGGTTTTGGTTACACCCTCAGGAAACCCTGTCTTTACCGTCACAGAAGCTTTGCTTTATTTCAAATATAAAAAGAGGGTATGTAATATTGGACTGTTAACCTCCCAGCTTTTTGCGTCAACCAGTTGCCTCACCATGGAATATTCCGTCAGCGTGGCTCAGCGCTGGGTCAGGCCAACGTTCTCGGAAAGTGTAACGCGCATGGCTGGAATTTGCTGATACAGCTCAGCAAGTCGCTCGATGAAATCAGTTAATGCGCAACTATAGTTTGCCTAATGCCCTGATGAATCGTTAGGCAGCAGCACCGTCCAGGGCTTGCACTGACGTCACGCGGCATAGCCGCAACGTGATTGGCTGGTTCCCCTCCACGCCCAACTCTGGGCTATGGGAAGCGCGCACTCAGTTGAGTTAGTCTAAATTCTAAATCCAATTCAATCGGTCATGTAAATTCCGCGTCGCGTCGCCTTTCCCCATAGCCTCCTCGGGAGGCTATGTCCCCCAATAACTTATTTGTGTTGTAAACTAAATTTATAGGATTATACAGCAAGTCGGAAGCTAAACACTTCACTATTGTTTTTATCATAAATGAAGTAAATAAATTATTATTCGTAGTGCATTTTCGTTGTTTCATTCGGCAACCTGTCACAACTCCGAATATTATTATTTAATAAATTATTAGACTTATTTAGTAGCTTGTATTTTAGGTGCTTTTGCCGATCGGATTGTTGGAAATTAAAGTTCACTTATTGAGTTGAAGTTCTTACTTACTCTTACTCTTACTCCTGTGGCCATTGGAAACCTAGGTGGTTTTTGGCCTCGCCAACCATGTGCCTCCAAGCTCTTCTATCCTCTGCCAAAGTTCTAACCTTCGAAGAATCAGAATATATAGCTAGGGGCCTCTCTGGTGAGAGCTGCCGGGGGCCTCATATATTTTTAATACGTCCCTGCATCACAACGTTCTTCATTACTTCCACACTAGAATCCAATTTCCATCTGTTAGGTTTTGTTTTACATGAGGCAAACATTTCTAAAACAATGAACACAGATTTTGTAGTTCTGATTTTTATATGAACTTATTTTGTAACATTGAATAGTTTAATGTATCCTCCATTTAAAAAAGATTTTAGTAGTATTTTTCACCTAAAATACTTAGAACTTATGTATAAACTTTTTGTTTTTTTTTTCAGATTTTGGCCTTCACCTAGATTTGCTCAATTTATCACAAATCCTCAAATAATTCATTATTTTAGGCATAAGGACAAGTCCATAATAAATAAATTTAATACATAGACATTCTTGTTTAATTTTAACCAAACTACTGTATTACAGAGCACATAAACATGTAAATATATTGTGGAGTATACTAATTTTCAAAGTAATTGGTTTGTTTAGTGACTATCTACAAAAAGTATCCTCTAAAAATTACACAAGATTCAATAATAATAATAGTAAACCAATTTATAGAATTCAAAGAATTCACTATGTGAAATGAAATCGCTCGCTAAAATGTTTAAGATTATTGTTGGTATTTTTATAAAAAAACTTTTCAATAAATTCCCTCTTAATACACTATAACACTGCCCAAATCAGTTCAGAATAAATTATAAAACTACTTTTTCAACCATTTGATTCAAACAAAGTTGTAATTAAACATTCGAATACTTGCAAATCACCATCATATTGGGGACAAGTAAGGGATGATTTCCAAGAACTGGTATGAAAATCAACTTAACAATTAACCCTTTGTGGTAGATGTTAGATTTGATCGTTTGTTTATAAATTTTAAACTTGATTTGTGATGATTTAGAAACCTTCATAGCCAAAAATCTTGCTAGTTTCAGTTCAAATGGTTGTTAATATTCTGTATTTAGCTTAGAGATGTTTTATTCTGAAGTTAGTTTAATGCTTGACCCCTTTAAACCCCGATAAAATGATAGTTAGGTGGAGTATAGAATTTTTATTATGGTTCAAGTACGTTAGTATGAGATAGTAACTATAATAATTAATTCCATTCAGTTTAGATTCTTACTTGGAAATTAACAAGTATCATGTCAATTGTGTAAAATATTTTTTTGAGGGATGCCATTACGTCTATTTGTGTGTGTTTATATAGAATAGAGCATAAATTCATTATAGATATAGAAATATTACTTAATGTTTGTGTGTTAATAGTGTGTGTCATCATAGAAATTTTCACAAAAATTTAGAATTTTTTACTGTTAGAGGCACATAGACTGGTTTTCTTAGTTTCCTGTATATATTCTGTTTCTTTTTACCTGATTACAGTATTTTTAGAAGATTTGGTAAGTAATATTTGTAATAAAACAATGTATTGAACAAATTTATCAATGCCACATTAGCCGTGCAAAATTTATGTCGACTAAATATCTATAAATTTTTGATTCATAAAATCAGTACTTATTTTTTTATTTTGGATTAATCCCTCCCTACTACATCACATCAATATATTTTTATACATGCCGTACCAAAAAGTAAAAAAAAATATCTGTTTCAAGCTGTTATTATTAACTTGGCAAATAGAGTCTTGAGGGGTACTAAGGGGCACATAGTCATGAGTTACCTCATTTCTTTTAGTCAGGAATAAGTAAGTGTGGTCTTAGTATTTTATTTTTTCTGGAGAAATTAGTATCTGCATAAGACATATAAGACAGATTGAATGAAAATTTACTTGTATTAAGCACTGTGGAAAGAGAACTTTTTTACATTCAGCAGTAAAATACAAAAATCGTGACCAGTGCTTAAAATGTCCACCATAAGCCAATTCTCCTGTATAATCTATAATATTATGTCATGTCTCAAATTTGCCAATAGCTTTTAGGAAAATCCAAATGGCCTATGTATTTAGGAGTGCTAAGAAGGAAAATTCTTTTTTAATCTTTTTGCAATGAATATTTTGGAAATTTATCTTCATGGCAGTGAATCTGGCAACCAGCATTGTAAATGCTTATTTTTTATTTAATACATTTATTTAACACTTATTTTACTTTTCAGCCAAAATTGGGAGAATCTCTTGGCCGAGAATCACAAGAGAGTTTGGAGACGATAAAGCGGCGAAGACCTTCGTTTATGCCTTCAAAATCGCTCGCCACCGCCACTCGAATCATAAACCAGCATCTATTTGGCCTTCAAACTCTTAGTAAGCCGGGTAAATAATGGTTATATTTATAAAGTGTTGTTTCATACAACAATTGAAACCTACAAACCAGAGAAAATATAATTAATCAAATTGTAAGTACGCTTATAGCTTGAAATAAGCATGTGACTAACTTGAAGGACCTATGACGCTATTTTAATTTTAATGTTTGTAAAGTTTGTACAGTGCCAATAATATATCTTTTGATTTAGAAAACATCTTCCCAAGTTACCTAGAAAGCTGTATAAACAATAGCTAACTATAATAATTTTATTATGAATAGAATGGCCAGATCTTTCAGTTTAGAAGTTTTCTGAATTCATTTTACACTCCATAGATTAGTTCTGAATACATTTTTGATAGGGTTTTTTCTTTATCAAAGTGTTCTAAAATAGCTCTGTTTTAAACAAAAAAATACCAAAATACAAACTTGTGTCAAACTAGAGGTGGGAAATGCCGTTACTGTGCAATAATAGTCAGGAACCTTCCCTTTCTTTTCGGTATTAGGTGAAATAATATTATTATTTTTGTGACCCATTACTACCTCGTCAAAGACTTTTCAGCCAGAAACCTGTTAATAGGAAGACATAATCAGCGTTATTTCACTTGATTGTTCTAACAGTTCAGGTAACGTTACAAAAATAATTCTATTCTCAATAGTAATTTAAGGCCAAAGTACTATACCTAATGCTTTTAATAGGAGGACCACATTTAGCGGGATAGTTATTTCATTTGCTCATTTAAACAGTTTAGATGACGTTACTAAAATAGGGTAAATAAGTACTCAGTAAAATATTAACAGGGTAATAGGTTACACTTCCGTATTATTTGCCCTATAATGTTAAATAACAACCACCTCTATCTCAAACATGACGTAAGTTAGGTATACATTAAAAACTCCATTTGCACAAATAAATACCTTACCTTACTTAACTTACCATAGTATTATTACTCTAGCAAACTTTACAAAAGTAAAATTTGTTTCCAGCAAAAAATGGGGAGAGCCGTTCTTCACTATCTGTTGACTCCATTGACAGCAGAAGTTGTACAACTCCGGAGACCCACCGCAGGTCCAAGTCCATTCTGAAGAAGCACGAGACTTGCGCAAACCACAGAGGTCGGACTAACGATGACCCGGAAACCGAGAAACTGATATCGGACTCAGCCTCGGGGGCCGGCTCAGACTACTCACCTGGCAAGAGCCCGCCAGCACTCAGAGCTATAGGTTGGGACACAGTTACACAAAACTCTATAAAAATACACTAAGAATATATACAACTAACCAAACATAAGCTATTTATTGGCCATCTCAATGGGGGTTTTCTGTTTTGGTGTAAATCAGGATTAGTTACACCAGGATTAGTAGATTCATGTTTCTTCACCAACATTTCTGAAACTAAAACTCTGTAATTTAAGTTTGTTGAAGTAAAATGACAGCTTGAATCTGCTGTAGATCTGCATCTGACGAGACAAAACACATTAAAAAACAGCTTAATCTGCTGAGGTCTTTTCTGGTAAACAATTAGAAGACTTCAGCCATCACTAAGAACAGCAAACTCAAGTGACGTCAAGTGTAGGAGGAAGAATTAAATCTCAATAACAATACAATTTTCTGACAAAATTCTATTGAAGTGTATAACCTTATTTTCTTAATGAATTTAATAACCACTTATTTTAATAATGACTTTGGTCATTATGCACCAAAGTCCAAAGCATAACCAAAAACAATCAAGTAAATGTACCAGTTCTACACACTAACCATTACTAATCACTATAAGGACTACGAAACCATACTCAAATGTCCGACAAGCAAGTCTCTTGTCATAACACAAATCAAATTCCAACAACTAATAGGCTTAGGCCATTCATTTGTCGTAATGTAGAATCACTTAGTCTGACAATATGTTGTTGAATCATCCAGTGCCAACTGTACTTATACGTTTTACACTTACCATAGTTTTGAGGGTCACTCTCAAATCATTTTCAGGTCCGTTGCGGTCACCCAACGCCACCAAACCTCAAGCGCTTCCCATCAAGTTTGTCGGGATCTCCGGCGCCGCCTCCAACAACCCCTCGGACATGACGTTGCTGCAGGAACTGCTGGGTTCGACTGCGGCTCCCCCTCCACTATACATCTGTCCTCCGCCGCCTCCCATGGAGCACTCTCCCACAGAGGAGACGAAGCTGCTGCTCCACCACGGTGACTCCACCTCTCACCATCCGCTCCACTCCTCATAGCAGTCACAGGTGAGAAACAGCCTATGTGTCTCCATTCACCCAGAGAAGTCCCCGATAGTATTTCAATTGGTCAGTTCCTTGTCAATGAAACTTTAAACGTCCCTTTTCCTTAATTTTCTGGTAGGCCGAGTGGTAAGCTTGCCTTCAAACCTGAAGGTCGCTGGTTCGATTTCAAGCAAGATCTTTTCTGGACCCAAATGTCATTTGTCAATGGGTTATCAATT